CAAACAGGGTCATTTAGCATCTCTTAGCATGATCTTGAGGCAGGAAAGAGCTTAATGAGTTTTAGGAACCATCACATTGCCAGTCGGAGCTTAGGGAGAGAGAGAGGAGAATCTGGTAGAAACTGAGATTAGAGAGAAAGGCAGGCACCAAATCATACAGGCACTTATAGGAGCTGGGGTTTTATTCTTATATTTGCACACACACACACACACACACACACACACGCACACACACACACACACACGCACACACCATCAGAAGAGATAATTAAGGAGCTAAATGTAAGTAAATATGGATAAATAATAAATTCTACCAAGAAGATGATAGTTGAAAGCTGTGAAAAAAAAAACAAAACACCAACATGTGCTCTAGAAACTTTCCAAACAGAGGTTCTGGTTTTAAGGTAATTGAGAATGCATAGCATAAAAAGTAGATTACTCACAGTTTCGTATCACTAGTAGAGAACTTCTGTGTTATGCTTCTAGAAATGAGTACTGGAAACTAATTGTACTCTGAAGCAAAATATGCTGTAACATTTCAGAGGGCCCTTTGCCTCACTGTGCATTTCTGAATTTGAGGGTATGCCTGGGGGCAGTCAGGTAGAAAACAGCACTTAAGGATGCAGGCTCTCCTAGATCCAGAAGGTGGGAAGACAAGGGCTATGTCAAAATGAGACATTCACTCTCTTCCTGGGGGCCACCAGAGGCAAGGCCAGCTCTCATCCAGAGCACGTAACTTATTCACATGCTTTGTGTGTTTGGAAAGAGAAATCACAACTGGAAACATGTCTAAATATTACTTCTCAGCAATGGTATGACCATGAGAAAAATTGGTGGGAGAGCAAATCATGGAAAAGAAATCAGAAGGCAAAGTAATAGAGCCCAAAACAGAACTTAAATTTGTCCCAATCAGTAGTTGGTAAAGTCTGAAATTAGTTTTAAAAAGTAGAGCAATTTCACAGGATCATGTCCTGCTAAAGCTTCAGAGATTCATTTGTTTTCTCATTCCTTCCCTCAACAGTGGATATTTGAGATCATGCTAAATGGACTTTATAGACCAGTCTGTAGATAAGTTACTTTTCTCTTTAGCCTCCTTCATGGCAGCATCCTTTGCATTCTAATCATAAATTCCAAAGAACTTCCCAGTGATCAGCAAAGCTTCTTCTTATAAGTGGACTAAACCTGATTAGCTCCTGCTTCTGTTGGACTCCGTATGAGAGATTCATTACAAAAAAGTGTGAGGCCAGTTTTCTTTTGCATTCATTTCTAATAATTACAGGGATTCAGATGAGGCCTCAATGACTAGGTATAACACAAGTGTTTTGTTTGGGAAGCTTGAAGGGCTGGAAATCGACCCTGCTCCTTCCCCTCTCAGTTCAAGTGCAGTATTCTGGTCCTAGCCACAGAGAAGCAGCAGATGCGTGCTGAGGAATAGCTGGCCACAAGGGTGGAATGTTTCAGTAGCACTTAGCCTGTCCAAGAGAACCTATTTTTGTTTCATATCCATGCCCTGGTAGTAGAATTCAAACTTGTTTTGGATTTGCTGATGGCCATAGTATCAAGATGGTATCAGTGCAGGAAGCCAAGAAGCTACCACCTGTGCTATGTTTGTATCTCAAGAATTATTTACATGGCTGATTGTTTCAGTTAGCAGGGCCTCTTGACCTTCTAGTGTTACACTAAGAAAGGTGACTAACACTTTCTTGAAAGTCACTTCACTTTAATAACCCATATAGTTCCCTCATTATATGATACGAGTCAAAAGGTTGATCATATTGCACTATCAAGTATTGACTCAAAATGCTTCACATGTGGCAGAGACGCCATGAGTGATCATACATGGTGAACAGAGAGGAGCTCTCACAGTGGTGTGCTGGTTAATGATTGACAACTGTTTCACCAGAAGGGAACTACTCGATATGTAGTATTTGCTGATTTCCATAGTGGAATATTAAGAACAACTTTATAAATTCAAAAACTTAGATGAAATGGAAAGATTCCATAAAAGGCAAAGAAGACTAAAACCAACTCAAGAAAAAAAATAGAAAACCTGAAAACTCTATATCTATGAATTGAATTCACAATTAGATTATTTCACAAGAAAATTTACAAGTCCAGATGGCTCCCCTTGAGAAGTACATCAAATAGTTTAGAAAGAAATAATACCAATCTTGCACAACATACTTCAGAAAACAGAGGAGGAAACACTTCCCAGTTTTGAGGGCAGCATTATCCTATTACCAAAATTAGAAAAAAATTATGAGAAAAGAAAACTAACTACAGCTCGATATACTTTATGATTAAAGATGAAAAAAATCCTTAAAAATATATTAGCCAGTTGAATCCAGCAATATATAAAAGTGATAATACAAATAATGGTGAGGAATTCAAGATTGGTTTAACATTAAAAGATCAATATAATTCATTATATTAATTAAGAATAAGGGAGAATAATTATATTATCATCTGAAAAGATATACAACAAAGCTATCTGAAAAAAATTCAGCACTCATTCATTACATACATAGATTAAGGATAGGTTTTCCTCAACTTGAAAAAGGCAAAGAAAAACCTGAAGTTAATATCAAACTTAAATGTTGGAAGACTGAATCATTTCCCTAAGAGAAGGAAGAAAGCAAGGATGCTCACTCTTAATCACTTCTAGTCAACACTACAAAGTTACTGGGAAGGGCAATAAGAAAGGAAAAAAAGTAAAAGGCAACAAATTGTAAAGAAAGAAAGAAAAACTATTTGCAGATTGTGTAAATATAAAAAAAACTTAAAATAACATAAAATAACTGCTTAAACTACTTAGTGAATTTAGCATAGATACAGGACACAGTGTCAATATACAAATATCATTTGTTTATAAGCTAGCAACAAAGAATGTAAAAAAATTAATACTGTCTACAATAGCATAAAAAATATGAAATGTGTAGTGTCATTTTTCCCTAAATTTAATATATTCATTCAGCACAGGCATGATCAGAGAGGGTGTTTCTGAAGAAATTAACAAGTTGAAATTCTAAAATTTAAATGGAAATGGAAAGGCAAAGGACTTAAAATATCCAAAACAATTTTGGAAAGAAGAGTGGAAGCATATGGTAAGCAGAGTTCTAAGATGGCCTCAAGCCTCTGCCCTCTGCTGTATAGGCCTGTACAATCCCCTCACCTTGAAGGTGGCAGGAGCCCTGTGAATGTGATAGGATGTCACTCTCATGACAGAATTATATTATATGGCAAGGTAAAGGGATTTCCACTGATGGCTCCATCCAGGATTGACATAGGTTCATGGCTGTGTGTAGACATATGCACACATATTTATTGTGCAGTCAGCCCTCTGGAGTCAGACCCTCATGGGCCCTGAGACATAATTGTGTCTTTTTAGGTGAAAATTCCCGGGTCATGGGTTCCCGGAATGTGGGGGTAGAAGAGGAAGGGTGCAAGCTCAGTGTAGATAAGCCAATTGGCCTAGGTATTGCCTCACTCCATAGGGAGACAGAAGGCTCAAGAGGCTGGAGCGGGGCCTCCTAAAGCAGGACACCTCAACTTGAATGTGCATATGAATGACCTCATATTAAAATGCAGGATCATTACAATGCATCTTATTCAAGTGCAGAATCAGAACACATCTAACAAGCTCTCAGGTGACAGGGTGCTGCTGACCCATGGGTCCACATTTTGAGTAGCAAGGCTCATTACAGCTTGGGACCCCGGTTTAAGGGCAAGTAGCATTAATATTCAGGACATGTGCAGTCTGCAGTGGTATGAAAACACCAAAGTTGTGGATAATTCAAGAAATGATTCATTGTGCTTGGAAAGATCTTAGTGATAGTTAACATTAAGCTAATAATAGTTTCTTCTTTCATCTTGCACATTTATATACTGAGTGAAAATAGTTGACTCAAAAGCAAGATAAATAACTGGGTATCCCAATCTGGTATTAAAACTATGTGTATAATCTACAGTTGCCTATTGTAATTATCATTCAGTGTCTTTTATAAAACAATAAATGTTCATAACATCCTTGGTATTAAGGTTGAATTTTTTTTAGGCTAAGATTACTCATGCCATAACCAACATACTTGGAACAGAACTTTGGAACCCTTCTAATTACTAGCCTTGAGCTTAAATCACTAGGTGTCTTATAAAAAGTGACATTAAAGTATTTCCTATTTGTATTAATAAAATGCAGGGTATGGATAATTTATTTTTTTCTTTTAAATTCTATGCTGAAAGTTAAGACCTTGGGCCATTCATTTCTCTAATCTATCTGAACTTCTCTCACCATTAGTTTGAGGAAAGACAAAATAATAATTAGTACTTTACTCTTGTTTGGTGATATATTTCTGCTGGTCCAAAATAAACCTCTGAACTGAGATGAGCATATAAGCTATTCCAGAAGAATAGGGATTTCCTTGACCCTCCATATAGTCTGCTTCTCAGTGCAGTGAAAGCCCCTGCTTAGGTTGTTCAAATTAATACATTGCTGGAAGTGTGACTTTGGGACAGTTTATACCAGTGATTTCAATGCTGTTGGAGGTGAAACAGAAACTTGAGAATGTGAAGATTAATTTAAACCACATGATGCATTCAAGGCAAATACAGTACAGTTCTTAAACGTGTGCTAACCCTGTAAAGTTGGGAATGAGATCCAAAAACCCACCAGTGAGCTTTTAAATGATCTTGACAGGAATCAAATCAACAGAATTAGTCCTGAAAACCAGCTGTTCCAGACAGCAGAGCTCCTCTCTCCTTCCCTAAAAGATCCCTGTGCCTGAGAGGACACATTTGTGAGTTCAAGAAACAAGGAGGAACCCCAACCATTACCACTTGTGGAAAGAAGTTAGAACTATCTTTCTAGTCATTAGCTCACTCAGTGATCGTCTTTCACTGCAGATTCCAAACTCTGTTGGGTTGTCTTAACAATAGACAACCAGCAAGTTGTATGTTGTGAAGAGTTGGTGACTTTGTGATAAAGGATTTCTTTTCCCTTCCAGTTTGTGGTAGCGGTGTTCTGGATCATTTATGCCTATGACAGAGAGATGATTTACCCGAAGTTGCTTGATAATTTTATTCCCGGGTGGCTGAATCATGGAATGGTGAGTAGACTAAAACAAATGATTTCCTTTTATTAAAAAAAAACAAACTATTAAAGAACTATTTTCTAATTTAGGCTTTCCATAGAATCTATCTAAATAGCTGTGAAACACTGGAAGACTACAATGAGAGATCATAATTAGAAAAGAATACTGAATATAAGTAAAAAACCTCTTCCCATGAAATTGAGCTGCTATTAAAATTATGTGGTAAATGAATCCCTAGTTTATAAGAGGTGTCAGTAGTGTTAGATTATACAACTAGCACATTCCAGGGTGAATTTAATTCCTGTGCTTTTCAAAGGCTTGTTACTTATTGGAGCCTAAGGGTCAATTCCCACCTCCACAACTATGTGCACCGCCCCCTCCTCCATCTCGTATCAGTGGGATTGCGTTGAAAGGGTGTTGTCCTTGGAGAACCCCTCCACGCACCCCTGGCAGAGCAGCATGGCTGTTACTTTCCCTGGGAGTTCTGCCGTGGGCACTGGAGGTGTCCTGAGGGGTGATTGTCACCCTTGTTAGATTCTGCCCACCCGAGGGTGTTTGATGTGGCGGTAGGTCTTTTCCCTCTTCTCATTCTAATTCTTTCTGATGCATTAGCCATGCTGTTACCTTCACAGGTTTCAAGTCAAATATTTTGGATGGTTTGCACAAACCTGTACAAGATTGGAGGATATATTTTCTGCGGAGAAATTTTGTGTTGCCTCCCCTTTTCGCCTTTGGGATAGAGCACTGTTTTGTTATTAACTAAGAAGCCTGCATTTTTTGATTACAGCCATTTTTAGACTATGTCACTGGGTGCTTCTAGTGAAAAGGGCAACCCATCACAGAAATTATAGGGGAATGAAGAGCTAGAAATTGATACATTTTAGGTCCAAAATAACAGTTTCCCTTCTGCCCTCAATTTTGGTGTATTTTAAGGAAAGTGGTGTGTACTAACAGACATTACTGTACTGAGGGGCTGTGATCAATCCTTCTTAAGCCAACTAACTCATCAAAAGTTCTGCTTCATAGGATCTGGAATTTTCTTTGAGTCCATCTGGTGCCACACTGCTGAAAGATTACTATGGCCCCTCTGGCCTAGTTCCACACAAGCAAACTGGGTCTTGTCAGATTAATATAACCATCGCAGGGGCTTAACATGGTTACTCTGCCCCCTCTCCACATTGTTACTTGCCTTGATTTGAAAAGCCCTTTCATACTCCATGTCTTTGCCATCCTCTGCCCAAGTGCCTTCCCATTCTCTCCTGGGAAACTCCTCCTCATCCTGCTAGTGTTTATGTAACATCCCCCAAGCCTTGCCTGACTCCCCCAAGCCAAGTCCCTTCTTCTGTTATCTAAGCTTGCCCAGCACTTTTAAATCACTATTATACGTCTAGATCCCTCGCAAAAATGTTCTGCTCCTAGTGCAAAAACAGCACCCTGCCTATCCACCTGGCACATAGTAGGATCCATACATATTAGGTTGATGAATGAATTCAGTATACAGCAGTCCCCCTTATCCATGGGGATACATCTCCCTAGCGGATGCCTGAAACCGCGTACCAAACCTTATATACACTATATTTTTTCTTTTACAAACATACCTATGATAAAGTTTAATTTATAAATTAGGCATAGTAAAAGATTAACAACAATAATAAAACAATTAAAACAATATATTATAATATAAGCTTCTCTCTCTCAAAGTGTCTCATTGTACTGTCCTCGCCCTTCCTCTTATGATGATGTGAGATGGTTGAATGTGCTGAGATGAAGTGATGGACGACATAGGCACTGTGACAGAATGTGAGGCTGGAACTGACCTTCTGACGATCCATCAGGAGGGTCACCTGGTTGGCCTGAGGTGCCTGAAATCTTGGAAAGTGAAACAGGGATAAGAGGAGACAATGGAGCCAATTTCCATAATTCTTTGCCAGTTAATAGTAATACCTACAATGTTTTGAGAACTTACCATGTACCAGATAATCTACACTGGTTATATAATTTTATTTTCAAAATGGTACTATGAATGAGAAATTATCATCTCTTTCAAAGATAAAAAGCTGAGGCTCAGAAAGTTTCTGACACTAGGAGGGCCCTAGCTAAGAACAAATGCCTGTATTATGTGCTGTGGAAGTACAGCCCTTGACTATTTGGCCTGTTGTCCCTACCCCTAAACTGCACACGGTTACCTTGGGGCCAGAGAATAAATCACAACCTATGTAGTGCTGGTACTGTGGAGTGTTTTGAAAGAATGGCTTATTAAACATTAAAACTGTACATTGACTCTCATGATTCTCCCTTGATTCACTGTGATGGGTTAAAATTCTCACCCTTGGAGACTAACACTACTTAGAAATACAAGAGGGATTTGAGTGACACAAATATTTAGAAAAGGGAAAACATAAATTAATTAACATGTCAAATCCTCGTAGATAATACAAGTTCAGTAGATTCTTTCACAATGAATTTAGTCTCTTAGAGGAGATGAATTTCTTGGTTTTCTTCATGTGCCAATTCATGCTTCCACAATTACTAACAAAGAAGTTGCATAAGATGGCTGAGGAATATTTTACACTATTAAACAATTTACATTACTCTAAATTTATATTTGTATATATGAAATCTTAAATATAGTATGCATAAAGCCTGATGCTAATTAGATTGGCAGTTAAAATACAAATGGTAAATGCTGGAATCATGAATAATTTGATATTTATAAAAATCTATAATAAGATTTATGAAATATCAAAATACTAAGTAAGAATTTTCAGCTTTGTTTACATTTTATTTAAAAGTTTAATAATAATTATAATTTGCATTTGCCTTTAATTTTAATAGGTAATTTTGAATATTTAATTTTAAAATATTAAAATAATTCAACTAAAATTACTTACATTTATTTTAATGTTACTTTGATGAAAACATTCAAATTGTGTACACTTTAATTATAATTACATTTTATTATTTATTGATGTTTTCTTATGGTGATCTGTGATGAGTTATTTTTGGTGTTACTATTGTAATTGTTTTGGGGCACCACAATCCACACCCATATATGATGGTGAATTTAATTGGTAAATTGTGTTCTGACTGCTCCGTCAACTGGTGGTTCCCTGTCTCTCTCCCTCTCGTCATGCCTCCCTATTGCTCAAGATAAAGCAATATTGAAATTAAGTCAGCTGACAACCCCACAATGGCCTCTAAGTGCTCAAGTGAAAGGAAGAGTGACATGTCTCTCACTTTAAATAGAAAGCTAGAAATAATGAAGCTTACTAAGGAAAGCATTTGAAAAGCTGAGACAGGCCAAAAACTAGGCCTCTTGCACCAGTTAGCTAAGTTGTGAATGCAAAGGAGAAGTTCTTGAAGACAAAGTGCTACTCTAGTAAACACATGAATGATAACAAGGCAAAACAGGATCATTGCTTATATGGAGAAAGTTTCAGTGGCCTGCATAGAAGATCAAACCAGCTACAGCATTCCCTTAAGCCAACATGGTTTATTGAATATTTTAAGCCCACTGTTGAAACCTACAGCTCAGGAAAAAAAAATTTCTTTCAAAATATTGCTGCGCACTGACAATGTACCTGGTTACCAAAGAGCTCTGATGGAGGGGTGCAATGAGATTACTCTTGTTTTCACGCCTGCCGGCACAACATCCATTCTGCAGCCCATGGATTGAGGAAGAGTTTCAACTTGTAAATCTTATTGTTGAAAAAAATACATTTTGTTAGGCTGTAGCTGCCACAGATAGTGATACCTCTGATGCAACTGAGCAAAGAGTTGAAAACCTTCTGGAAAGGGTTCACCATTCTAGATGCCACTAAGGACATTCATAATGCACAAGAAAAGGTCAGTATATTAACAGTGACAGGAAACTGGATGAAGTTGATTCCAAACCTCATGGATGACTTTGAGGGTTTAAGATTTCAGTGCAGGAAGTAGCTGCAGCTGTAGTGGAAATAGCAAGAGACCTAGAATTGGAAGTGGAGCTTGAAGTTGGGATGGAACTGCTGCAATCTCATGATCAAATCTGAATGGATGAGGAATTGGTTCTTATGGATGAGAAAATAAACTGGTTTCTTGAGAAGGAATCCACTCGCATGGTGAAGATACTGTGAAGATTGTTGAAACAACAATAAAGGATTTAGAATATTACAGAAATTCAGTTGTATAATGGCAGCAGGATTTGAGAGGACTGACTTCAATTTTGGAAGAAGCTCTCGTGTGCGTAAAATCCTACCAAACAGTATCGCACAGAGAAAACTTTTGTGAAAGGAAGAGTCACTGGATGTGTGAACTTCATTGTTGTCTTATTTTAAGAAATTGCCTTGGTCACACCAACCTTCAGCAGCCACCACCCTGATCAGTGAGAAATAACCATCAATATTAAGACCCTCCACCAGGAAAAAGATTATGACTCAGTGAAAGCCCAAATGTTGGTTAACATTTTTTAGCAATAAAATATTTTTAATTAGGTATGTGCATTGTTTTTTCAGACATAATGCTATTGCACACTTAATAGACTACAATATAGTAGAAACATAACTTTTATACATACTGAGAATCCAAAAAGACCATTTGACTTGCTTTATTCTGATAGCTGCTCTTATTGGAACCAAGTATCTCCAAGGTATGCCTGTAAAGAATAGTTTATTATCTCTTCCATTCTATTGTCTATCTCTTTTCTCTCAGCAAGAAATCCTAGAATTTATTTGCAGAAGAATAGAGAATATAGGTAAACAGATGAGTTAAAACAGTAATACAACCTTGCTGTGTAACCTCCAGACTCAATTAAAACAGCACACACAAAAAAGGATTTTAAATCATTACAGTGATAATGATAAACACATAAAATATAGAACAATCAAATGTACTCAATTCAATATCCAAATAAAAAATTTTTCTATTCTTGCAGCCATATTTGTCTTTGTATGATCAGCAACCTGAACAGCACATCACACTCATTAGGCATTCACTAAGTGATGATGACAAATGAGAACGTTTGTGCATTTGCTTTT